AATGCACCTGCGCACACGTCGTTACTAGTGAGTAGTTTTTTGGCCAAAAACAATACTATCATCATGCCTCAGCCACCGTATTCACCAGACTTGGCCCCCTGTGACTTTTTCCTCTTCCCAAAATTGAAAAGGCCCATGAAAGGACGAAGATTTGCGACGATTGAGGAGATTAAGGCTGCATCGCTGGAGGAGCTCAAGGCAATACCCAAAAGTGCATTTCAGAAGTGTTTTGACGACTGGAAAAAGCGCTGGCACAAGTGCATTGTATCAGAGGGGGATTATTTTGAAGGGGATAACATAATTTTGGATGAATAAATGAATATTTTTTTATAAAAATGAAAAGTCACCTTACTTTTTGATCACACCTCGTACGTCCTAATTATAAATCTTTAGAAGCTACATACTCGTACGTCCTAAAACTATGATTCAAAGTAGAAGCAAAATTTTAACTCTGGGAAATTTATTCGTCAAGTTACGACGCATAAAGAAAACGAATCTCTGCAACATTGGATACACATTGCATGGAAATATAGTGTACATCGGCTGTCTACAATTAGAGCACGATCGGCCATCTAGCGCACCGATTCTCTCGGTATAATGCTTCCTAACGAGATACATTACGTTGATGTAACGTTCGCACGATGGTCAGCCATACATTCCGATTACTCTCATTGCGATCGATTCGGTAGTCTTCTAGAGCATCAACTGAGGTGCCGCGCGCTTATGACCCATTATATTTCGTTTGTGACTTCTTTACCCCTTTGTCTATGTCCTATTAAATTACACTTTGTTGAGTAAACGGTAGTCGGTGCTTTTCTTAACGCGTTGCGACGTGTTACCGATCTCTTCTCAGAAAAATATCGCTATCGATGCTTCTTGGCCTTGAAAGAAAGAACTGTGAGAACGCAGTGTGATTTCATACTTCTTTGTCTCACTATAGGAGAGTCACTTTCTTTATTGTAGAAGAGTTACGTTTTGTTGAGCAGCCGAAACATCGGCGCTTCTCTTAAACGTGTCGCGACATGTAAAAAAAATATCGACGCTTCTTTGTCATATTAAATAATACATGTAGAACGCTTCTTTGTCATATTAAATAATACCGCGACGCATTTTGGGGACAACGCATTTTGGG